CCAGAAACATGAAAAACGAGTGAAAACTGAAAAACTAGAAAGTTTGGAAAAGCGAAACCTTCCATCTGCAGGTACAGAAAAGAAAATTCCAGTTATAAGGTATTTCTCCCACCTTCCTAGCATGCCTTCGTGGTGTGGTGGTCTGCACGCTGAGCGCGTATTCCAGAGGTCCGCAGATCGATTTCCGGCGAAGGCGTTGCTAATTTTTCATCTCTCCAGCCTCAAAATTACCTAATTCCTCTACAAGTGACGCCCGAACAAAAAGGGTAATGGATGATGACACTACACACCCAGGATTTGGCGATTGGGTTCCCTAAAAACCCCAGTCGCCCTTTAAAAGGGGAAGTACATAAGGTCCTCCCTAGCATGCCTTCGTGGTGTAGTGATCTGCACGCTGGAGGGGTATTCCAGATGTCGGCGGTTCGATTCCCGGCGAAGGTATTGCTAATTTTCCATCTTGTCTGCTTCCAAAAATACCTAATGTCTCTCCACAGTAAGTGTTGCAACATTGCTGTTATAAAAAGAATGCATGTGAAAATCGGGCATGAAACCATTCCTAACACGACTTGTAGTTCTATTATCTATTTAACGACTAAGAAGCAACAGCATTTATCTCATTAAAATGGTTTTTGATTTTTTAGGATTTGAATTAACAACAACTTCCTCAAATTTCATCCTACGTAGGCTAATTTTAATAAATGCTAAAAAAACTTACTATATCTTTCAATAAAATGAGATATGCCCGCTTGAAAGGCAAATAACAAAATGTTTTACAAATATGAAATAAATACTTAAGCTATTACCAAATAGTGTTACAATATTCTGAAGAACCCTATGTAGTCTATCAATATTTTCTTTCTATTTTTTATGTAGAGCAAACATAGAATTATTAAGGTTATAAATAATAAATAATTTAGGTTAAACTTTGAAGTGCAAACACTTTAAGAAAAATTTCAGAAAAATATAAAGTAATAATAATTAATTCTAAATCCTTCGCAAAAACTTTTTAAATCTACAAGACAAATGCCCTGGAAAGTTAACTCCGTAAAAATACCGTTATAAAGCTCTGTCCTGTAAACTTGTAAAGTCCAAAAGCTGATTTGGATTATTTAAGGTCTTAGTGCAAGGTTTGAAGCTCGAAGGCTAAGTTAAATAACTTAATGATTTAGCGCAATGTTTAAAGTTAAAATACTGTTTTCAGATTTCATTAAGTGGCCGCTTCTCCTAAATTTCCGTTTCTACATGCTATAAAACCTTGACTTACGCTACCCCTAACTTAGATGAATTCAAATTCAGTTAGTCAGTTATTCAAGTTCAGGTTTGAATTTAAGTTACGTGGTTCTTGTTTTTTATCCATTTAGCCTGGTGATTAATTTGAATCTCAAATTGTCAATAATACAGAAAATACTGACAAAAACATATTACTCAGCTTATATATTAGAGCTAGCTATATAGAAATAATATGTATCAAATCATAATAATTTATGCTAAATGCTCTAAACCTCCACACCCATCTTTGAAAACCTGCACTTGAATTGTAATTTTATTCAAAACTCATCGCAATTATTCTAAGTGCTGTCAATCATTTTCTTTGGTACAGAAAAAGAGAAAAAGAGGAGAACGGAGTTTGATATTCTTTATTTCTTCTGTTTGATAATCATGAACTGAGTTTACAGATGAGTTTGTTAATATTTATGAACCGTCGACATAGAAATAACTTCGTTTGATTTATTTAATTCTATTTTGCATTGAAATCCAGAAAAACTACATTTTTATAACACGTTTTCCTTGGTCTCTTGGTCCTTCAGCTCTTAGTTGTCTTTAGTTAAAATAGGACAAAGTGCAACGTTAGACCCGGACTTACCCACTGTTCATCGGTCGCCTAACTCCGGGGTATTGCGGTATGCATAAATTCCCAGCACGTTGGCTTGCTTCGATTAACATTCTTCTCCTTGCTTTCCTAAATACTTACGTGTTTTATAAACGGGTTTATAATGAAGAAAGTAAACTACGTGCAATAAATATATGTATGTATTGAAGAAGAATAATTTGGTTCGTGGGATATTGACTTACTGACTAAATTCGCCTGAAATTGGATGCAAAAATCACAGTGCTGTATTAGTTTTCAAAGTTCATTTTTGTCATTCCTTGATGATTTAAGCATTAATAACTTTCAGCGAATGACAATTACATTTCTTTCTATTTTATACATTTTTTATACATTTCTATTTTATACATTTCTCTAGCATTAAGTAATTGAAAAGACCCGACTCTTGGACACAGTTTTTAAATGCGATTTTCTAACTAAGCTGCCAAATTATTACATGCCTATCTGAATACTGGTCCGCTTGATAATAAAATATAAAGATTAAAGATCATAAAGCATTACTATTTAATAGAAAAGATTAGTCGTAAATATATATAGAGATAGTAGAAGGAGAGTTCAATAATTCGCAGAATAGGAATGAAAATGATGACAGCGGAGAAAACCAAATGGACAGCGTGAACCTTAAAACACTACATAAATCTGTTCCTGAAGCTCCCTTATTTATTTAAATAAATTCAGATGACATAGTAGTTACATTTGTTTTCAGTTACTGATCCTTAGAAAGCATTGACTCCATTTACATTAGACAAAGAAATATTTATTTACTGCTAGACATGAAAGCAATTTATTTACTTGCTGATCTCCATCGCCTTTTCATGTATTTTAAGCGGATTGAGACAAGATTCTCCGTTAACTCCCTTAGTTGTACTTCTGTAGTTCATGCACCGCTCGATCTCTTCTATTACCGCTTTTGTTCATTCAGAGGATATTTTTACACTTTAGAGAATAGCACGATAAAATGTGTTAACCTCTTTTCAATCGAACCCAAAAGTGTCATTATCCAGCAATCAGGGAAACCACGAATAACGGAAAGAGACGTGGTTTGAGAATTGATGGGAAAGTGAGCTGCCACTGAGTGAAAAAGTAAAGAGATTTTTCACCCCTCCAACGTATGCTAATGCATGGTAATAAATGCACTGTATGAAAAACTAAAACAGATAAATATAAAGATTTTGGAGAATCCAAGTTTCATCTCTGCATTTCGGTAATAAGAAACACGTGGCGAAAAAGAAAACTCGGCCGAAACCATTAATGTATATTCCATACACCCGTCTACGACAGAAACAAAATCCAATATTCATATGACCTATTGTTTGATTTCGCGAAGGAAACAAACACAAAAGTATGTGAATAATATATTTTATTTAACTCCAACATAAATCTTAAAGGTTTCGATTTTTTCTTTTCCAAAATGCAATGGTGTATATTCTGTTGCGGTAGTAAAATGAATGAAATATGCAACGGTTGAGAAAATATTACCGTTCCTTTCCAGTATTTTTGTTTAACGGTGCTCTGCATATGTAATGCCGTTTAGCGACCGAAAAATCGATGACTTTGCATCAGTTTTATGCAGTCTTCTGCCTTTTTACTACGAATCCGCTTTTGATTCCTCATTCATTCTGGAACAGATTGGAGAGAACATCGTTTGCAGCCTTTAAAATAAACTTTGCAAGGCGAAGCGCTTCACTAAAGAGAGATTTTCAATGCGTTGTTAGTTGAGTATGTCCCTACTTGTGCTGTTTTCGAACAAAAGATGCACGAATGTTTCTAACACTTTTGATCACTTCTGCTTCGAGCATGAGATTTATTCTGTCTTTGACCTCATTGTTATTACATTTCCAGCATAATTTGGATGTTCTCTAAATTCAGTTGGATGAAATGACGTCCGTAATTTAAACAAATTGTTCCGAAGTAATGTAAAACTTAGAATAAAGGCACTGAGAAATGGCGTAAGTTTTGCATTGTACTGCGAGCTTTTTACAGCAACGCGTTTTTTAAATTTTGTTTTAGTAATCGTTCCCTTTCTATAATTCATTTCTCATCATTTAATTCAAAGGCATATCACTTGTTTCACTGATTGACCGCACACTGTTATATAACATGTTAATACTGCATTTGAAAGCAAAGCGTATATTGTTTTCAGTTTAAAGTGATGTGAGATACCAACTTCGTAAATAACGTTTTAACGTTTTTGGAAGAAAAACGGAGAGCTAGATGATGAATAACAAAAACGCATATCAAAACCCTTTTTACAAATGAGCATTAATATTGAAATGAAAAATTATAAATCAAAAGCGGTTTATTACTTAAATGTAAACGAAGGGCAAAACATAGACTTAAGAATGTGACACAATAACGGTTCTTTTTTATCTGTTACAGATAAGTTTTTAATAAGAATAGGAAATGAGTTTTATAAAAAAGGGATCTAATCTAATCTAAGAAAATAAGCCGTACCGCCAAAATTGGCACAACCGGCAATTTAAAAGAAACAAACTGAAAGATAACTGGATAAACACTACAACAGAATAAGGATTAATTATCCAAAAACACATCCTCCACTGGAGATGTGTCGGCGCCGCCAACGGGTCATCTCGACCTTCATTCAGAATAGAAACCACCTATTTCTTAACATAAAATGACTAAATTGAACTCAAGACAACTGCTAACCTAAACAACAATTATAAAATACAAATATTGCCTAACTTAACGAACAATAAGCATTTACAGTTTTCAGTAAATTATACATTGTATGTATACAAATTGCATTATAATTTATGCAATTCAACTCAAAAATTTAAGCAATTAAACAAAAGGATCGAAATATACATAATTATTCAAATTGGTAATAATTTTTATAAGTCCTAATTTAGCTTTATTTTTGCTATATAGTTAATTTTGCTATATAGGTATTTTTCATTATTTATAGATATATTTCGAAAATATTCTCCTCTAATTTCCTTCGTTAAGGCACAGTCCCAAATGTAATGTCCATTAGATGCTCCAAATGCATCCTGACCACATCGGCAATGAATATCTTTCCCATGAAACCTTTTTAGACATTCTGGAAATTGGCCATGTCCTGTTATCAATTGATTTAGCAATCCATTGTAACTTAATCTTTGCTCTTTGACAACAGGAAATATTTATAAACCTTTCGTCCAGTTTTGTCATAATGCCATCTTTGTTGCCATGTGTGGAGAATCTTGTCATGTAGTACACTCTTAATATAATTAAGAGATAAAGGAACCGTGATATCAATATCTGTATTATAGCATGCTTCCTTAGCAGCAGAATCTGCTGCTTCATTTCCATGAATATTCGAATGTCCTTTTATCCAATTTATATGTAATTTCATTTTTGAATTAATATTGTGAATATAATTTCTGACTTTATCTACTTTTGCAGATAAACATTTTCTAGAATTAAGAGCTCTAAGGATGCTCTGGGAATCTGTGAACACCGAAATCTCCCAATTTGTAATATATTTCTCATTTTCTTCCTCATTAGCCCATCTTATGGCGTTTTCAAAGGCAATAAGTTCTGCATCAAAAATAGTTGAATTATTATTCAATCTTAATTTAGATTTATATACAAATTTATTATTTGCAAAAGCAACAAATGCTGCTCCAACATTTTTATCAATCACGGAGCCATCAGAGAATAATTCCAAACCAACACCAGTTGGAAGAAGTGTCTTCCAGGTAACCTCTTTAAATTGTGCCGGATGAAAATAAAACTTTTCTAATTTTGGATCAATTTCTCTATTAGAAATCTTCAGGTCACAATAATCTATATTCTTCTTCATATGAACAGCTTTATAAATCAGCGTTTCAGCTTCAGCTACTAAGTCTATAGGCGTAACCCCAGCTAAGACCTGTAGGCTGGTGGTAGAGACTGTTCTGTAGCATCCCGTAATGGGCAACCCTCTGAATCTGTAGCAATTTATTTCTCACCCTTTCCGTTCCAGTCCACCAAACGGGTGAGCCATACAAGATTATTCGTTCAATTCCTCTATTGTATAATTCTTTTAAAATACTTTTACTTTTAAAAGAATCCATACATAATAATCTATTCATCTTATTCATAATCTTAAAAATTTTTTTCTTTCAATTTAGTTAAATGTGGCAACCAACTTAAATTTGTATCCAAAATTATACCTAAGTATTTAAGTGTTTTTTCGCTGCGGATTCTTTTTCCATTCCACGTCAATAAAGGTAATCTGATTAATTTTGAGCCTTTTGGGATTGTTATCATAGCCATTTTATCTTGACTAATATCCAGCTTATTTACTTTACACCAGTTATAAAGTTTATCTAGAGCATTCTTTGCTTTTTCTTCTATAATTAATCTATTACTTCCAGAAATCACCAACACAAAAATCGTCAGCATAAGCCTGCAAAAAAACATCCTTTTCAAATTTCAATTGTAAGGCAGTATCAGCCACCAGGTTCCAAAGTGTAGGGCCTAAAACAGAACCCTGAGGAGCACCTTTATTATAATATTTCTCAATATTTATATTATTTCTTCTGTAAATAATTTTCCTATTATTTAGATAACTATTAATAATATTGAAGAGGTTTTGAGGACATTTTAAATCTAGAAGTCTTGATTTGATGCTGGGCCACCATAAGCTATTAAAGGCATTGCTAATGTCGATTGCAATCAAAGTAGTATGTAAATTCTTTATCTTATTAATTCTTATAGTGTCAATAATATTATTAATTGCCAAGATAGTATCTTTTCCTGGCGTAAATCCATATTGATTTGCATTTAGTAGATTATTGCTACCAAGAAAATAAACAAGCCTATTGTTAATCAATTTATCGAGAACTTTACCCAAAGTGGGTAATAAACAAATCGGCCTGTAAGAAGCCGCTTGCTCAGGAGGTTTATCTTGTTTTAAAAGCAAAACCAATTTGCCAATCTTCCATGTCTCAGGAAAATGTCCCTGTTGAAAACAAATATTAAATAGATCCAAAATGAATTTCCTATTTACATAATAAAGTTCTTTATAAATTTCCAAAGGAATGTTATCATGACCGGGAGCTTTATTCATTTTCATACTCTCCAGAGCAGCAGAAAGCTCATCGGCAGTAAAAAACAAAACATCATTAAAAGACTCCAAATCAACTTTTATTTTTCCTTCGGATATCCCGATGTTCATTTTCATCCTCCTCTTCTTTATCTTCCATAAAGTGGAAGTTCATAATTTCCTTTATTGTATCTTCTATATTTTCTGTCTAAGTACCATTACTTTTTACGGATAGCAGTAAAAGTGACAGGATTCATCTGCTTATCTGTGGCAATTTTAAAAATGGCCCACCAGCGGCCGAGTGGTAACGTCGCTGAACACTGGTAGTTCTTCGAATTTGCTGCATGGGTGTTTTCGTGGTTTTCCCAAACGAACGAGCCAGTTTCCCTTAAAAAGTCCCCACGAAGGCATCCCTCCCTTAAGGCAGATAGCCCTTGCTTTGCCGTAATTTAAAACCAAACCAATTTTAATGCGTGCCAAAGGTTTTGCAGAGACAATTTATCCCATATTTTAATCCAGTGATTTTCCTTTGCAATTCTAATGTTCTTTCTATATATTGCAAGATGTTTACAATAAATTTTTTTATAATTTAATCTATCTTCGCCTCAATTCTGAAATCTTCTTCTAGAAGCTCGAACTTTTTTCCTTTCAGTATTTTATCCATTATTCCACCATGGATAATAGTTTTTCTTTTTTCCTGTATCGTTATAATTAAACCGAACATTTTCACATATGTCACATATGATTGAATTAATTTCATGTAATTGAGATTCTATATCTTCATTGATTTCAATGCCAGAAAAATTTTCAAACATAAGCTCCTTTAGAGCAATCCAGTTCAATCTCTTCAACTTAATTTGGTTATTTTGTGTATCATCAATTATCACATTTCTAATCTCAAAATGAATATAATTATGATCACTAAGGCTAATTTTATCAGAAACTTGCCAATTACATATCTCAATGTCTTTAATCAATCTGGAAGCAGTAATATCAATCCATGAATTTCCTAATACTGAAGAGTATGTGGGAAAAAATGTTTCTATTGTTGTTTACAACAAAGTTATTTTCAAGCAGAAATTCTGCTAATTTTTTTCCCTTGAATCCATGTGGTTTTGGCCCCACAATGGATGTTTACAATTGACATCACCATTTATTACTAATGAAGTATTTTTAAATCTATCAAACAAAGAAGACAAACAACGTAAATGATCATCAATAGTTTCTGACGGGGAAAAAAATAGCATGTAATCAAGAGAAAAGGACTTTTTCCATCCACCAAAACAGCAACTATGTCTTTAGAAGCATAAATTTGTAAAATGGATAAATTTTCATTGAATACAAAGACACCAGATCTTATGTTCTCACCTTTATTATAATATGCTCTGGCACTTATTGGTAAACCATATATCTTTCCTTGATAAACATAAGGTTCTTGTATGCAGATCAGATCAGTATCACTTTCTGTAACCTCAACTCTCAATTGTTCTGTGGCCTTGATTGCATGATGTAAATTGATTTGACAAATTTTAATTGTATGAGATTTACAAGCCATAATCAATTTTTTTGGTCAATAAATCAACTTGTCTAATATAACAAGGACATTCTTTAAATGTATTTTCATGTTTAGCATTAAGGCCCAGTCCAAATCTCGAATTTGCTATTGTACAATTATAACATTTATAATCTGTTGCGGTACATTCAGTTTGAGAGTGACCTTCTAAACTGCATTTATTACAAATAGAGGTTTTTGTACAAGCTTTTTAGTGTGTCCAAAACCATAACATTGGAAGCATCTGGTAACTCTTTTATATTCTCTAATCTGGTGCCTTGTCCATTTTAAATAAATTTTCTTGTCTTTCATAACCAGATTAAATGATTGTGGGTCCAAGGAAAAACGATCCAATGACATCCCATATTTGATTTCATATTGAATCTCGGTTCTATAATCGCATTCTCTAGAACGACATTCTGAGATTTCAGTAAATCCCTTTATTTCCTCTCCATTCAAGGCAGGATCAACATTATAAATCATAATTCGTGGATGTATTTTCTTAGGTCTTTTTACATCCAATTCTTCTTTCAATGTACTATTTTCTCTTATTGCATTTTCAATTATTGACAAATCGTCGTATTTAGTGACCTTAATCAATACTCCACCATTTTTTATTTTTTGTACTCTCTGCACACACCTATTTTAAGATCAGTTGGAGAAATGTTTTTAATTAATTTCTCCTTTACTTGTTCAGAAGTTTGATTCCTTTCTTTTTAGGATATATTAGAGTCACAAATTCTACTTCTTGTTTCTTAAAACTTTTTGTTCTAGATCGTGATCTTGATCTTTGTTGAACTTTTTCTGCATAAGTAGCAGCTTGCTTTTTATGCTTTCCTCTTATAATATTTTCTCTTTCGGCCAATCTTCCTCTTAGTTCACCATTTTCAATAAGAACACTATTCATTGCATTCTGCAGTTTTCTAAATATTTCTCTAATTTTATTACCTACAGATTTGTTCACCTTATCAGATGGGTTACCTAAAACCTCATCCAATTCTTTAGAGTTTTCATTAATAAAGGACAGTACGTTGTCAGCGATATAAGATACAGTATCTTCCGATCCCGTTGAAATTCTATCTTCTTTTTCAAGAACTTCCGCTCATTATTCGCCATCCCACGCAGAAAGACTAACTGAATGGTGCACCAAAACTTCAATTGTAAATAAAGGCATCCATTATTAGCCGTTTCGAAGTTTGAAAAGCTTATATCTCTTAAAAGACTTGTTGCAAATGAGTAAAATTTTGCATAAATATCCACAAAAGTGTATAGAATGAAAGCACAATCAATTTATATTTACATGGTGTATAAACTTCAAATAAACAGAAAAAACTTTACAAACGTATGCAAATGAGCCACTCAGAAATTCAACGTAAAAAGGCTTGTAACTTTCAAAGTACTTAAATCTGAAGCACAAAACCAAGCACGTAATTCAAGAGTAGCATATAATTAAAAAACATGCATTATAAATCCACTTGCATGGTCTTTAAATGTCAAAATTAAGCAAAAGTACTCACATGCGTATGCTAATGAGCAGCTTGACACGTAGAAATTTTCAAACACTTCTAACTTTCTCAATTTTACTCATCCAGTCAAAAGATGTCCATTTTCAGAAACCGGAATGAAAGATGGATATAAAAAACTCCCTTTCACATTCACAAAATTAAAGTTTACCGAAATACAAAGACCTTTTTTCCAGACCAAAACACACACCAAAACAACATGGATGCCAGTTACGGTTTAGGCCCCTTTAAAAAAGGGATAAGTGACTTGCCTGTGACACAAAAGGAATATCAGACTTTTAAGTGATTTTATATATATAAGCTTCAAAATCTTTTTTATGGTAGGCAATAGTCATTATAAGCTTTGGCCACTACTAAAGTCAGGAGCGGTGGTCGTTTTATTACGGAAACACCAAATAGACATGCACTGTTGCCTGCTATAAAGGGACAAACAATTTACATCCATGCCTTCTTTGGGTTTCGAAATCGGTTACGGCAGTTTGGGTTACTAAGCATTTTCTCAGTTGGACGGCAGCTTTAAAATATTAACCTCTCTGCTTTCCTTTTTTCTCTTTACTTTCCCATAAATTTCTTCCTTCATCTCGAATTTCAAAAAATGTATTTTCATATCTCTTTATTGATACTGTATGGTATGCATACAAACGTAGGAATGAAACTGTATCTGAAAAAAAAATGACATCGCATTTTTGGTCAAAAAT